TCCGGCCGCGGGTTCGGATCCCTGCCAGGCGCTCCCAGACGGACGGACAGACGGACCGACAGGTGCGCGCCTGGATGGGAGACGGGAGAAGGGAAAAGATACGCAGGGGCCCTGGACAGAAAGACCCGGGGCTTTCCAGATCTCCACTGGTGCCGGCCCTCCATCCACCTCTTCCTGCATGCACGGGGATGCTCCCGTGTACACAGGCGTGTGCACGCGTGTGTGGTGTGTGGTGTGCATGCACCTGCGCGTGTGTGCATGCGTGTGCTTGTGCCGGCAGTACTGGGGAGGGCTCCAGGGAAAACAGAGACTTGCTCGGCTGGCGCTCCACCACCCGTGCCAGGCCTCCAGTTCGGCATCTAGCCCAGGCAATGAAGTCCCCTTAGACCTTTCTCTCCTGGCTGGCTTTGAACCTTGACCTCTGATCTCACAGCCTCTTGCTGACAGGCATTCCCCAAACCCATCACTGCGTTTGAACTGGGTTGGACGGGCTTGGGGTGCGAGGTGGAGTGGTTTGCCTTTGGCTCAATTTTTAGTTCCCCCCAGCTTGGTAGCAGCACTGCCGGATCTGCAGGAGGATGGTTTACGCACGCTTTGCCAAGTGATTACCACCAGCACGCTAATTACGCATCCACCCTTCGGGGGAGGGCAGGGCAGAGATGCTTGTGTTATCTAAAGATCTCTTGGATTGGGTGTGGTAGCTCTTCTCTATAGTCCCAGCTACTTGCGAGGCACGAGTAGGTGGATCACCGTCCTAGGGCAGTTCTGGCAACAACTTGAGACCCTATCCAAAAGATAACTAAAGCAGAAAAAGGCTGGGAGTGAGGCTCAAGTGGACAGCAGGGTGTTTGCCTAAGGTAGCATGAGGCCCTGAGTTCAAGCCCCGGCTACTACTAAAAGGAAAATTAAAAATCAAAACAGAGTGGCCGTGCCTATCAGCCTGATCTTTTAAATCGGCAGAGAGAGAGAGAGAGAGAGAGAGAGAGAGAGAGAGAGAGAGAGAAAGAGAAAAAGAGGGAGAGGGAGAGAGAGAGGAGAGGAGAGAGGAGGGGGGGAGGTTTAGATTGCACTTGACCTTTGAGGGGCCACTTAATTGCAGGGTTGGGGTTTGAAGTCCTCTTACCTGGGATTACAGGCAGGAAGTACCAAGCCCCTCCTGTGTTTTGAGAGGTGGGTGTGTTTGGTGTTTTAGGGCAGGGGGCGCCCTTCCTCTCTGGACCTCAGGGTCCCCATCTGCTCCGGGAGGGGGCTGGGCCTTCCCCGTTGGGCACGGAGGCATCTTCCAGGGCAGACAAAAGGGCCCCATTGAACCCCAGGACGCTCCTCACAAAGGCCTTTTCTCCTCCAGCCACAATGGCTCTGTCAAGCAGGTAGCAGGGCGGGAGAACGGAGCTCATTGTCAATCCCAGCCTCAGTCTCCCTGGGGGGGCGGGCCAGCGGCTCGGAGGGGTAGAGCTGGGCCTGGGACAGATGAGCTCTGTCCTCAGGCAGCGAGGGTCCACTGAAACAGCCCTCCATCCTTCCCAGCTATGTAGGGAGGAGGAGCAGGACAAGGAATTTTACCAAAACAAACAACAAACAACCCCAGGTCTCTAAATCCTTGCGGGTCTTCAGGAAGCACCCCACGTTTCATAGAAAAGAACTTCATTGTGTGATTAGGGAGCCGTGGATTCTGTGAGCCCTGACTTGGTTAACCATCTTCTCATTCTGATGTTTTGGGCCTTCCTTCCAGGGTAGAATGCGTCCTGCCAGGAACCAGATCCCTATCCTTGAGATGAGGAAGGCTACGTGTTATCTGCATGTTGGGGGAGGAGGTGGCTTACATTGGGGGGGACATTTTTCTCAGGCCACTACCTCTTGCCGGACAAGTGTTAATTCTTGGGGTGAGAAATACATCCCTCTGGAACAGATGCATCCTGAAGTATGCCATCTTTGAAGCAAAGGTGGCACTTCGGTGTTTCCAAATACCGTATTTCTGCATGGCCTTCACTGGGCCTCAGTTTCCTCAAGTTATCTGGCCTCATTTTTCCCCTAAAAATGACTTTGGTCCTTTCATCTTATGGGCAGTACGTGAGGGGCTATTTCCTGTAAGCTGACCATTCCTCCTTTCCCTCCTTGTCTATCCACCTTCATTTCCCCTAAAACCATCGTGTGTGTATCCTTAATCTTAAGAGAAGCGCATTAAGCTTGAGTGTTTGGATTCCCAGCAGACATGTACCATGCCTCATTTTGCCTAGGCTGGTCTGCCTCACTCCTAGTGTCTCTGACCTTGGGGAAGAAGGTTGCCTTTGCTTTCCCTGGCTGGGGAGGTATGGGGGGGGGAGGGGGGAGACACACCATGTGTCTTCCTCGGGCACAGTATAGACCATCGGGATTCAGACAGACAGACAGACACACACACACACATACACACACACACACACACACACGCTGTCTTGGAGGAAATCTACTGGTGCTCTACCACTTGGACCACCCTCCACTTCTGGCTTTTTTTTTGCTAGTTAATTGGAAAGAAGAGTCTCACAGATGTAAGCCATGCTCTCGATCTCAGCCTCTTGGGTAATTAAGATGAGAAGATGAGTCTAGAACCTTCTTTGCCACGCCTTTCCTGGTCCTGCTCTCCAGGGGGGTGGCTCAAAGACCCAGGGAACGCAGGGAGCATCTACACCATCTTCTCAGTAGCCCTATTCCGAGAACTTCCCCTTGGCTTACAGATGGGGAAACAAAGGCACAGAGCAAGATAAAGCCATGCCCAACTAGTTTGTGACAAAATCAGCCCTCCATTCAAAGTCACTTGAACCCAACCTGGCACTCTGCCTCTGATTTCTTTATGGACAGAAAGGGCCGATCTGAGAGCAAATCCTGTAACAGTTAATATTCTGGGGCCATTTGCTAAGAATAAGCCAACACACTAAAACTTCCACACCGGCCCCCGGGGGTCACGCCTGTAACCCAGCCTGTAGCTCACCAGGCTGAGCAGGAACATACTAGAGACTCTTATTTTCCTCCACTTAGCCACCAACAAGCCAGAAGCAGAAGCATTGCTCCAGCGGCAGAGCTCCAGCCTTTAGTAAAAAAGCTGACAGTGCCCAAGCCCTGAGTTCAAGCCCTAGAATTTGTGTGACCCCCCAAAAAAAAACCACACCTTCTTTCCACACACAGTACTCCGTGTATGTGATGATCATGCACCTGTGAATTCGGAGTGTTTCCCTGCAATGGGAGTTCTTCCCATTGTAGAGATGGGAAAACTGAGGCTCGGGAACGTGAAGTAAACTTGTCTGCGGAGCTGGGATGGAGCCTGGTTGACAGATCCCAGCGCCAGTGACCCCAGCGCTCATTCCACAGGCTGATCACGCTCTGCTTCTGGAATCATCCACCCCCCCGGTGGAGCAGTCCGAGGCGGGCAGAGCTCTCTCTGAAGACAGGTATGTGGACGAGCAGCATCCGAGTATGCGGAGGGGAAGGCATCCCGATGATGCAGACAGAACCTCGGCATCAGCTGGTGGGCCATGGCGGTGGCCACTCCTGTCTGTCAGTTCAACTACTCAGAAGAGGAGAATGGGAGGATCGAGGTTCTGGGCCAGCTCAGGCTAAAAGTTCTCACCTCGGCCCATAGCTACTTGGAAGGCGGTGACAGGAAAGCTTGAATTCCAGGCTGACCCAAGCAAAAAGTGAGTCCCTTTCTCAACAATAAACCAAAAGCAGGAATTACAGGTGTGCACCACCACACCTGGCTTGTTCCAGGCTGTCTAGATGTGTCCTCTCTATTTTTACGGCAATCCTGCACAAGGATGACCTCATGGAATGCCACTTCGGTGGTAGCTTCAGGGTACCTGAACTTGTCCTAATTTTACAGCCAATGACACGGAGTCTGTGAGGTCACGTGACACAGCTCAGAAGCACACCGACTGTAGACAGCTAAGGGACCAGGGCAGGATCACAGAACATCACTGCTCTGTTCCTGAGCTTGTGTGCCCAAGACAAGCGCTCCACCACTTTGAGCCACAGCTCCACTTCTGCCTTTGGGTGCATGGGTGATCAGTCTCATGGACTTTCCCGCCCAGGCTGGCTTCGAACCACGATCCTCAGATCGCAGCTTCCTGAAGCAGCTAGGATGATAGGCGTGAGCCAGCAGCGCCTGGTGGCTTCTCTTCCCAGTGTTTGCCTCTCTGAGTCATGGCAACCCGGGGGTAAGAGCACGGAGGAGTTGGTACTCCTGGGCCTGTGGGGACCGGCAGTGCTGGGCATGCAGAGGCAGGGAGGGATGGGAAGCAGCTAGCTCTGAGCGTGGCCAGAGAAAGAAAAGCTTGGCTCTGCACTGGAGGTCAACCTGAAAACAAACGACAAACCTAGGCTCACGGGGCTCATGCGCCCACTGGAGCCTATGTCAGGGGCTGGATAAAAAGTCAGGAGCCAAGCTGGTGGGTCATGCCTGTAATCCCAGATACTTAGGAGGCTGAGCTCTGAGGATCATGGTTCAAAGCCAGTGCGGGGGGCTGGGAAGGT